GAATTTTTTAAATGCATGTCCATGGAGCAGAGTGCCTGCCTTGCAGAAACAGTCAGATGAATTTTGGATTACCGTCTTGGGTGCTAGAAGCACTTCAGCTTTATTAGCAGAGCAGTCCAGCTGAGCCAGTTAGCCCTAATTACAGAACCAGTTATGTTACACTGGGAGGAGGCTCTATCCTAACACAGTTATATTGCTTTGCTACTTACCTCCTGTGTGTCTGCATGGACTTCATTGTACCATTTAACAAAAAGAAAAGTATTCCAGGTCAGAAACTCAGCTGAGGATGACCTGTGCTTTTTCCAGGGTAAAGCTAAGAACAGATGCTAAACACATTTCCCACTGTGAAAGTGGAACTGCTTATCAGTTCCTTATCCAAGTTGACAATACATCAAAACTTATTAGAATCAGTAGGTTCTGATGAAAAATATTCTTCCTGATCTAAAGAAAAATATTACAGAAAGTCTATTGTACACAGCTAAATATTAACTGTGATGTAGAAAGTATACAAGAAAAAGTGAGGTTCCGGCTTCTACTACCTTCTAGCCATTGAAAATCCTGGACTTAGTTTCTTCCAAAGAAACATTAGGGAGACAGTATCTCACTTTAACAATGCAAATTAACAAAAAGCATCATTTTTAAGAAATAAATGTTGAAGATATTCAATATGTTTCAAGCCTCAACTAAATACTTAGAATAGAAAAAGTTGTTGAAAACCCTTATGCTACCTGAATTCACTGTCAATAGTAGCTCACTATTCCTTGCAATGTCAGTAGGGGAAATATATGTCAGTGAAGAGGAAATAAAAGTGTTGCAACTTGCCTAAGTTCAGCGGGATGGAGGAAGAGGGGCTTATTTAGCTCAGAAATGCCAGCTTGGTGGCTCTGTCTTGAGTCATGCCATCCCTTGACCTAGGCATGAAAAGCCAACATATTACAGCAGGTGGCAGGTTCAGTCTTCAGAAGAGGAAGCTGTCACAGACTATGCCCCTGGAGCCTAAAAATAAGTTGTCATTACAAGGAAAAGCCCAAGGTGTGCCTCCATTTGGACAATGTCTTCCCTGCTTCATGAAGTCGCTCTATCTTGCATGATCTGAACCACACAGCAATGGTGCTTTTCCAGGCCAAGCAGGAGCCTGGTAGGTACAGCTCAATGCAGATCCAAGTTCCTGTGAGATGCCACCAAATGTGCAGTGAAGCAATCCATAGCCAGAGCACAGATGCAGGAGATGTCCTGAGGCAGGAGGGACACTCCGGAGGGCCATGGGGGGAATGGGAGACAGTGAGTAGGAGGAAAAGCACCTGTGAGGAGAAGCATCTCTGTGGGACTGAGGTTGTCACAGAGGCCCAGGCAATCGCTGGCCAAAGGTGACGTACAGAGCTGCAGTAGCCCTGTGGGAAGCAGAGAGGAGCCGTTCACAACTCTCCATCTCCCTCTCTGCTTGCAGGGATCTATGGCACTGTTGACAGCAATCCAAGGCCTATTTGGAGCTTAATTGGCAAGGGATGACAAGGACAGCAAGAAGGGCTTCTTCAAGTGGACTAAAGAAGAGCAACTTCAAGTAAATAACTAAGAGTTTCCCTAGAGAATGCGGACCCACTGCTGAACAGTGCATGGAGACCAGGAGCATTGCCTGAGGACAGAAAAAAAAAGAAAATTCTAGCCCTCAAAAAAGGCTAGAAAAAGGACCTAGGCCTCCTTCACATACAGGCCTCACCTCAGTCCATGGAAAAATGACAGAGCAGCTCTGCCGGGATGCTATCTCTAAGCATGTGAAGAGAGTAGTCAGTATGGATTCACAAAGAGAAAGCCATAGTTCTCCTGCCTCATAATCTTCTATGGTGGGRAGACTGTCTRGATAGTTGAGGGAAGAGCRGTGAGCAATGYTTTCCACCTTGACTTCAGCAAGAATTTTGACATTGTCTCCCATAACATCCTCACAAACAAGTTCAAAAAGTGCAGGATAGATGAGCAAACAGTGAGGTGGATTGAGGAATGGCTGAATGGCAGAGCTCAGAGAGCTGTGATCTGTGACAGAAATCTATTTGGAGACTTGTAGTTAGAAGTGGATCCCAGCGGTCAGTACTGGGTCCAGTAATCTTATTTAACTTATTCCTGAACGGCCTACATGAGGGGACACAGTGCACCCTTGGCAAGTTTGCTTATGATCCAAAACTGGGAAGAGTGGCTYATGCACCAGAGGGCTGTGCTGCCAGTTAGACACACCTTAACTGGCTGGAGACTTGAGCAGAATGAAATCTCATGGAGTTCAACCAAGGGAAGTGCAGGGTCCTACATCTGGGGAGAAATAACCCTCTGCATCAGTACAGGTTGGGAGCTGGCCTTCTGGAAAGCAGCTCTGTGAATGAGACCATGAGAAACTTGGTGGACAAGTTGACCATGGTGATGCTGCTCTCAATGGCAACCTAATGGGTTGCACTAGGCACAGCATTGTCAGTAGGTTGAGRAAGGTGATCTTTCCCTCTACTGAGCCCTGATGAGGCTGAGTCTGGAGGTCTCTGTCTCATTGTGCACTCCCCAATATAAGAGCAACATGGAGCTATTGCAGTGAGTACAGCAAAGGACCACAAAGATGACGAATGGACTGGAGCATCTCTCATACAAGGAAAGGCTGTGAGCGCTGGGTCTGTTCAGCCTGGAGAAGACTGAAGAAGGATCTTACCAAAGCTTACAAATACCTAAGGGGTGGCAATAGAGGATGAAGGAGATTCTTTTCCCTGCCACCAAGCAATAGGATGAGAAGTAGGAGTAACAAACTGAAAAACAGAAAAATCCATGTGAATATGAGAAAAAATGTCTTTACTGTGGGTGTGACTGAGGACTGGAACAGGTTGCCCAGAGAGGTTGTGAAGTCYCCTTTCCTTTATAATATGAAAAAGTCATCTGGACACAACACTGGGCAACATGTTCTAGTCACCTTGCTTGAGCAGGAGTTTGGACTAGATGATGTTCAGAGGATCCCTCCAACCTCAAGCACACTGTGATTGTATTTTCCATGGGCTCGAGGGCTCCAGCTCTCCAGCACAAGGGCCRCTAGCAAGAGAAGACATAAGTTATCGAAATACAAGCACCTCTCAGAGAGCAAGTCAGCCACTTCCCCACCCCAGATYCCTGCTCAGAGCAGGTCAGACATACCAGCAGTTTGCACATGTGGGGAGTGATACCACTTCTAAGAGCAGCCAGGACCAGGCTGTTGCTGTGGGAAACACAGTTTCACATTGGGCAGAGCAAGAGATGCAGGGGGGATGTCTTCATACCTATCTCCAAGCGTGGGCAGAGAAATTGCCATCAGTAGCCGTTCAATTGGATGTTAGTCCAAATATCAGAACCTGAGGAACAAAGCTCCTGCTTATTGAGAACAGCGTGTCTCTGGAGTGCAGAGAAGGCAGGCAGCTCAGCCAGAGGGGCGATCTCTTAGGACAGTTCCTTCCAAATCCACGCTTAGGACCTGTGCATGGAGGACAGGGGTGTTTCCTAGCTCACTTCCAAGGGGGGAGACACTGAGGGCAGGCCCAAGASGCAGCCAAACACTGCCCAGACCCAGCTGCTTTGACACGCACTCGTGTGCCCTCAACCATCGCAGGGACCCTACCCAGCGGGACGGCTTGGGTGCTGCAGGAGTGTCCCAGCGAGGGGCAGCGAGGGGGCTGTGTCCCCCTCCCTGCCACACTCCTCACGTGACTCCTCCTGGGGAACACTGCGCTTGTGCCCTTCCCAAGGCTCTTACAGCAGAGCCATGGGTGACTGCCATCCATGGGCAGGTGTCTCCACCGGGTGTCCCTCCTTGGGAGAGGGGCCATGGGGGTCCCACCATCCATGGGCAGGTGTCTCC